CAACAAAACCGGCCGCGAGCCGAGGCTCGCTCCCCGCCTCCCCTCCCCCGGCCCTGCGGGATGGGCGAGTAGGAAAAGTCACTCAGGAATGGCACCGCGTACTTTCAGGAAAGAGGAAAAGAGAGGGAGAGGGAGAGAGGTCAGTCAGTGCCACAGCCATGCGATTAACGAGAAGAGAAAAAACTTGATCCACCGGTTCTTTAAGAATCGACCCAAAGCGAAGACGAGAAAACTGGAAGGAGGGGGGCGGGAGGGGAGGGCCGGCCAGGCGGGACCCGGCGAGCGGCCCGGGCCAACTTCGCCAGGCGGCTGCTCGCCCTTGGCCGGCAGATAAATTCACACATACACCTCGATTCCATCGCTTTCGCCCGCGCTGGAACCTGTCAGAGTGAATTCCCTGCTGCCTGTTTGCATGTGTCATACCTGGGTTTTGTTTGTTTGTTTGTTTAAAATCAAATTCCAGCAGGACCTGGATAGTCCCTCCTCGCTGGACAGCTGCAGTGTGTGCCAAGCTACCCCAATCTTCCTGGGAATTCAAGTTAAAACAAAGCGAAACAAGCCCAAATCCATGACAGCTAGAGAGATGAGAACTGATTCATCGATGAACACCCCAGAAACAGATTTACAAGGAAGGGGCGATAAATCAGGGCGGAGGACATCCTCGCCAGCCCGCCCCCCCGAGCGTCCTTTACAGAAACGACGACCCTCGCCGTCGCCACGAGCCCCCCCCTCCCGGAGAAAAACACCTACATTATGATTGTTATTACTGCTGAACAGCAACAAGTCATCTGATCACATCACAGCGCACACCGAGATGCTCTATAATTACCCTTAACTTTGAAAACACTCCCCCCCTTCGCAAACCAGACACACATATTCATACACCACCTCGGAATAAAGACAAATAACGCAAGAGCTGTTCCTCGCCACGCAGAAGCCCAACGGAGATTTACCTCAGCCGTGCGTGCAGGAAAATCATCCCATCACCCTTTTGTTTGTGTTTACTGTTAGTGTGTCCTCTCTCTGTCTCGCTTCCCTGTGCCTAGCGTGTGTTTGTGCACTGCGGCTGGTGGTGCAAACTAAGGCAGCGCCTCTGGAGCTGAGGGTAATCCTGTTTTTACTTCCTCCATCTTCAGCGCGGAGCAGGGTTAGCCCGGGACAGCTGGTCAAACCCCGAGAAACCGATCCGCCGCCGCCGGAGCACATCTCCCCCGCCGGCCGGGCT